ATTATTATTTTTATCATCATCATCATCATCATCATCATCATCATCATCCCTCTCTTCCCATGGATCCAGGTGGGGAACAACAACCATTGACAGACACACCACATCAATTTAAATGCACATCATTAAAAGGACAAATAAGATATACCAATATTAAAAAAAACCCCCACATTTCAAATTCATCATTTAAAATTCACAATTAAAAAATAATCTGGATAAACCTGTAAAGAAGAGCCAGGAATTATAGCCAGAACTGGATCTACCCTGAGATAGAGTGAAGCAGCCGCCTCAGGGGTTTCCGCCAGCGAGATTTGGGGTGAAGGGTTTACAAAGGTTTGGGGAAACTACAACTCTCAGAAACTCCCTTAGCCAGCATGACTAGTAGTTGGCGTCCCAAATGTGAGAGTTGTAGTTTGAAAACACATAACTTTGCCAAAGATCTCTTGCTTATGGTTTTGAGTGCCAGGGTTAAGATGGAATAAGACACTTGTTGGGTTTTCTGTTTAGGGTGGCAAAATGGCAACCCTTTTGGATTATGGGGTTTGTGGGGTTGGTTGGTACCATTTGCTGCTCTACCTCAGGCAGCGCATTTTCTTGAGCTGGCCCAAGGGTTCCATAAGATGCTGGTGATTTTTGTCTGGATAGGTAGTTCCTTTGTTATTATGTGTAGGGTCACCATAAGTCAGAAATGACTTAAAGGCACACAACAACCCAAGGGTTTGTCCATATTGAAAACCCACCTCTAGCAATTTTATCTTCACCAGGGATTGATTTTTCTAAACAATGATCAGACTAAAAATTCTTCATGCTTGTTCTGTTGTTCTGAGCCTTCAGGTTGTTTCTGACTTATGGTGACCCTAATTATGTGCCTTCAAGTTGACTCCATTTATGGCCACCCTCTCCTAGGTTTACTTAGAGGAGGTTTGCCATTGCTTTCCTTTGAGGCTGAGAGAGTGTGACTTGCCCAAGTTCATTTTCCATAGCAGCCATGGGCCTCCTGGAGTCCTAGCCCAACATTCAAACCATTGCATCATGCTGCCTGGGAAGGTCTCCACTTTTTAAGAAAAATAGTGTCACAAGTAGGTTCCCTATAGGAATGAATATCACACCAGTCACCTATATATATGGGAGAAGTTATAAGAGTATGTGAAAATGGGTGTATTTGAATTCTCCTTTCTTTTCCTGGGGTTCTAGTCCCAGGCTGGGTTCCTGAAACATGGACTGCATCCACACTGCAGATATAATCCAGTTTGACACTGCTTTAACTGCCTGGCTCAATGCTATAGAAGTTTCGGATTTGTAATTTTAGGAGATATTTAGCCTTCTCTGTTAGAGAGTTTGGAGAGCCAGTGTGGTGTTGTGGTTTGAGCGTTGGACTAGGAGTCTAGAGACCAGGGTTCAAATCCTGGCTCTGACATATAAACTCACTGCGTGACCTTGGGCAAGTCACACCCTCTCAGCCTCAGAGGATGACAGTGGCAAACCTCCTCGGCAGGAACTTGCCAAGAAAACCCCATGATGGGGTCGCCATAAGTTGGAACAACAAGAAGAAAAAGTCAAGGAACTCTGGAGCCACAACAGACTACACATCCCAGGATGCCATAACATGGAGCCATGTTAGTTAAAGTGGTGTCAAACTGGATTATTTCTGCAGTGCAGATACAGCCAAAATGTACTCACAAGTGCTGTGTGTGTGTGTGTGCTCAACCACATTTGGTCATATAAATATAGTAATATCTATCTATCTATCTATCTATCTGTCTCTGTGTGTGTGTAT